TGAGGGATTCTTTTTTCAACTTTGGATGGAAATAAACAATAGTTTCTTAACTGTTGTAAATCATCTCAGTGCCTTCTGAAGCTAAAATGGAAACCATTTAATGGTACTGCACTGACACATTAGTTTAATACTGTGATTTGTAGCTGCTAACACTTTTTTTTTGCTGTTAGTGTCTTATTTTGTCCAGTACTGCACACATTGCCAGCATTTGAAGTAATGCCTAATATAATGTAGAATGCACAATGTTTATAGGACTGATGTGAAATTCTAGTTCAGCAACTGTTAAATCTAAAAGGGTGTGATCAGATTTATAGGTAGTTTTGTTACTGGGTTGAAATTAACCTAAAGTAATTTAGAAAATATCAGCAATGAAATCTGAAAAAAAATAAATAATTGTACAGTGAAATGTTAGCAGTGGCCTATTTCTAGGGAGAAAAATGCTGTTATGTAATGCAGTCACATAATTGCCCATGAGAGATTGTAATACAGTACATTTACTAAGGGAGAGCTCCCCAGCCACCAAGCAGTGATAAAACAAGAAGTATTTAAAAAAGCAATGTATTCATACTGTGAATATTGTATTTGTTTTTCTGTTAAGGTTATTAAAAAGAAAGATTATTACTACTAAGGGATAGTAAAGGCTATTGACTGAAACTGAGAAAAGTCTTACAAGGTTTAATGTGTTGCCAGGTGTGTCTCTTGCACTGCCACTGAGATCTTTGATCTCATTTACAGTTTATCTGCAGAGAAGATGCTCCTGATTTAGAGCAGTTCAGGCACTTCACCTTTCACTATATTTTGTATTGTGGATGGCAATACTCTTGTCAAACATGTTTTGATATCTCTTACATTAAATAAAGAGGTAAAAACTCACAAATAATGCAAGCCACTTGAATCACAGGAAAGGTTTGTTTTAGGATGTGAGCTTGTGGGTGAAAATTCAAGGCAACTTTGCCAAGTCGTTTTGTCTATCCTTATGCAGGACTGTAATCACACATGCTTCCATGCTTCAAAAAGTTTTTCAGCTTTGTAGTGCTTAATAATTCATATTGATATTAAATTCAATATTAAGTGGCTGGGGTTTCTGTTGATAGGCCAGAGAAAATGTACGGGCTGGTGGCGGAGATGTTAAAACACTTGAAGTCAGTGAGGGCAATGAAATACGTGGTGTGGTTTCATGAGGCTGATGTTAAGATCTCTGATAGTAGATGGATGTCACGTTGTGTCCTAAGCTAATGTGTTCCTAAATAACCTATTACAGAGCTTTGGAGGTGTGCATGGGTACTACACGAGAAGTGTGTCTTGTAAGTGACACAGCTGTGCAACTTTGTCAAATATATTACTGCTTGCCTTTCATATCATGCACCAGTTACATCTTAAAATATGAATCTGTGGCTTCACTTTATGATCAATGCTGGGATCTACTATACTAGAAAGGAAGGCTTGGGATAATTTTCAGCCATTTCTCCAAAATTTGGTCACTTATTCAAAACCAGAGATTTCTAGTTCTCATATGACGCAGAAGTCTCCAGAGGGACCTAAATTACGATCTTTAGGGCAAAAAAGCAAGTAGCAAGGGAGAAGTACAGGTCATGCAATTTTGGAGGGATATACTGCAGCTATAACATTCCAACAGTACACAGGCCGAATGGTTCGGGGCTCAAAGACAAGCATACCATGTGTACTCCTCTATGTACTGTATTATTTTTAGGCCTGACTGTCACTGCCAAAGCAAATGTTGTACCCAACAAAGGGGCAGCTTACCAAGACAAGTTACAGAACCTTCTGCTTAGCGCTCTTGCAACACAGAGCAATAGTATCTAAGATTAACACTACAGATAAGTTTACTTCGGACTCAGCAGTAGTGCTTGTACTTTATGTCTACTATTGTAGGACGCACTTGAAATAATGCATGTATTTGGGGTAGCTAACTCAAACATATTTGTGAATTACCTTGCAGAGGCAAGCGTAGTCATTGTCATCTGAACTAGGACTTCAACTGTCTTATGAACTGCCTCGATAAGACTTGAAATGGTGCAAAACTTCTGTCAACATTTTGTATAGGTACACCGAACCATTATTTCTTGAAACAGCCAGCTCGGATCACAGTGTTAGCCCTTTTCATGGGATATAAAGAAGCATATTCAAAGCAGCATCTTCAGTTGCATTTTTTCTGTCATGGTTTACCTCAGTCTTGGAGAAGCAAAGTCTTTGACTTGAAGAATAGGAATGCTTAATTTCAACTAGCTCTTTTGTGTTCATCTGTAGATGCCAGCTAAGTTAAATGATAGCACTAGGGCTGCGTTGTAATTGTGAATGATTAGCCCTGTAGGAACTGATCTCGCCAGTCTAGGCAGAGAAGATGGGAAATCTGATCTGAGCAAAAGTGGTCTGAGCATGAAATAAGTGAAGCTGCCTTTGCAGAAAAATTTTTTTTTTTTTTTTTTTTCACTTCCTTCCTAAAGAAAAAGTCTAAATGCTCTTAGGATGTTTCCTCAGACTTGTGCCGGAAATAATCCAAATGGCTTACTGTTTTGCAAATTAGAAGAGATAGTCTTTTGTTTGAAAAGTTGCAGATTTGGGAGCATCACATACTTTTAACCTGACAATTATATATTCTAATCGATGTTTAATGGCAGAGTTAGCTGAATAAACTAATATTAGGATCATCAGAATTTATCCGTGAGTCTCTAGAACAAATAACTATTCATAGATAAAAAGAATGGAAGCTTATTTCAGATGCTAGCTAGGTCAAATCAGTATTTCACATATAAAACATAGTTATGCTGTTGTAACAGCGAAACAGCTTTTCCTTGTATAGTTACAGAGGGCTTTAAACAAATTTTCGTCAGTTACATTTGTACTCCTTTTGTGTTCCGTTTCCAGGAATTTTTGAACAAGCTTTTCTGGTAAAATCTCACTAAAAGCAGACTTCAAAGCTTCCTGTATAAAGAGTAGATAATAAAACTGGATACTGATTTTGTACTGCTGGAGAATATCGTGTCCTCATCCATTCAGAAAATAGAAACAGTGCTGTATGACTTAGGTGACTGGCCATAAGGATATCGAAGAAAGCTTTTTCAAGGTCCATTTTGGCCAATGTGTCTCCTATTATCTAGCATGACTTTGAAGTACCTTGGGCCATCCATGTAAAAGAGTTGGGTGGATATAGACTGATTTAGCAGTATTAGGTTTTAAATGGGGAAGTAATGTCCCATAGACTTGGGGACTGCAATGAAGCTTAGCAAAACAGCCCCATGAGTGAAATAATATGAAATTGCTTCAGAGACCCAAGACTGAAAGACTTGAGAGATTTACCTTTCTAGGTCTCCATTCACTTTCCATTTGCATTAAGTGAATCATTTAACCATGTATTTAACTTTAAACATGTGCCTAAATCCCATAAGAGGTACAGTGCTTAAAGCAGAACACACAGTTAACTGCTTTGCTGAGCCACAGTGTTACTTCTTACCTACTATTTCCATATTGTTTTGTGTATGTGGACAGAAGATTTGCATTGGACATGAACCAAAACACAATTTTAACCCTTCTGCTACCTACTTTCGGAAACATTCATCCTTCCTACACCCAAATCTGTTGATCAGTGTGACATAAAATTATGTGTCTGAATGTTTGCCTAGTTTAAAAAGGAAATTATGTAAAAAGTGTGCCTGATGTGATGTGGTGCATGTGATCTAGCTAATATATTTACAAGACTGATAGAAGCAGGATGAGTTAAGCTGGTCAAGTAAAAAACTATAGATTTTTGGGACAGATTAGTGGGAAGTATGAGCTGATAATGCCTAGGGCATCTTCAACTTTTGGATGAGAGCAAACCCAAATTATTCCAGAATAGCTGGCACAAACAAGCGGTGCAGATTTGAAACTTTCAGGATATGAACCAGTATAATAGTTGCTTGGTTGTGTTTTGCCATAACAGTAAGTAGGTGCTGTCAAATGATAAGTGGCAGTTTCTTTTGTGACTCACTTTTCCTGACTTGCCAGCTGGCTTATATGCTTTCCCTAAGTTGGGTGGAAATGTTTTTCACTGACTGAATTGTCAGTGCTTCAAGATTTTCAGATCTGACGACAGAGATCTTTGCAACTCATAATTTTACTAATGGGTTGTGTTAATGTACCAATTTTTAAATTCATGGGAGAAGTTTATGTCACTCTTGTAGCATTTGTAAAATGATGACTTTGTTAAATGGATGTGCAATTAACCAGCTAAAAAAATAATTGTTAGAAAGACTCTTTTGGCCAGAGTATGTCACAAAAACTCTCGGCTCATTTATCACCAGCTGCATCCATTAATTCAGCACTGCTTGGCACTGTCTAAGAGGGGCTTCTGAAACATCGTGTTTTAAATTTAATAAAATACAAAGAGCTTTAGAGCAGGAATAGGCTGGTTTAAAATACTTAACTGTTTTTCAGAAACTTGGTTTACATTTTTTGAGTCTCTCTCCCTCCTGCTGTAGAATTTCATCTATTGAATATGACTCTATGTAAGGAGAATTACGTAGTTGTAAATTGCAAAGAACTTGCAGATTGCTATTGGTGATATGGTCTGAGCACTAGGAGTGTCAAGATGTTGCAGCTCTCTGCTTCTCCCAGAAAATTCTGGTAAAACAATTCTATCCTTTCAGTCCAATCATTTATCCCAAAGAATCGTTTCTACAGCTTTGGTGTACCATTTTCTAAAATTCTAAATTTGGTCAAGTTGCTATCTTACAAGTAACTGCTGACTATTAAGGCAGATAGAGTTTCTTTGTGTTAACTTACAACCTATTTTCCATAATCATCAGAAAAGAACTATCATTCAAACCTAATTTGGTCCACATGATATATAACATATATGCACAATAGAATGAATGTTTTGTTTGTTAATAAGACAAGTGAAAGAGAAGGGTAAAGAAAAATCTTTTTTAGCCAAGTATGCCACTTGTTTCAGTTCTAAATTGTGTTGTGTTCTTTTTTTCCCTTTCTTCCCTTTTTTTCAGTTTATCGAGGTTTCTGGACAGTTCTTATGCTCCTGGGAGTGCTCACTATTGTGATGGCTAGTTTCTTCATCATCTGTGCAGCTCCTTTTGCCAGCCACATTCTGTACAAAGCAGGAGGTGGCTTTTTCATCATTGCTGGTGGGTATACTGTTTGTTCGGTCAATTAAAGAATAGAAAGGATGAGATATTTCTTCCTTTTTCCTTGATCCAGAATTATATTAGTCATGGTTAAAAGAAAAAAAAACAAGATATGCTTCCATCCTTTGGCTTGTGGAGTGCCTGCCTTGATGACAATTCCTTCCATAGTTATTTAATCATGAAGCTATTCTAAAAGGTACTTTTGGATTAAGGTAAAAAAAAATCCAGGACAACTCATGGAATTACACTGAAGTTTGTATCTACTAATTTAGCAGGAAAAAAAGATTCATATTTAGGGATGCTGCCTTGTAGGAGCCTCAAGGGCTTTATCTAAGGGGGGGTTGGTTTTTTTATCAGTGACACAAAAGATCATTACAGTGGACTCTGAAGAAGTTGGAAGACAGAGCACATTCATATGACTAATATAGGAGAAATGTTTTGGATGTGATTGGAGTACACAAAATAGTTGTCACATACGAGTAAATGGGAGCTCTAAACCTCTGTGAATAAGAGAAAACAGATAGTGAATTCCTGCTTTCTTCACAACCCACACATACTACGGAGGATGCCCCCTCCCAGGATTCAGCTGATACGGGCAGCTCTCTGGGACACTGTTTGGTTAACTTTGAAAAATCTGGGAAGGTGTCACACGGATGTGTAAGATGCAGTTGCGTAGGATGTAAATGACAGTGTGTGCTCAGTCACTGCTCTCTGCACAAAGTCTGGTGAGAGGCAGCCCTGCGAGAGGTCTGTTGTGTTACAGGGTACAGCCACTCGTGTCTGGACCAAAAGGCCTGGGCTTTCTTTCTGCTTCTGCTTCTTCTGCTTCTGCTACTGACCTGCTGACCTTTGTTACCTATTCCCCTCGCAGCTCTTCATACGCAGCTAGTGATCATTATTCCCCTTTAAAGGGCCCGTCAGTGAAGTGTGGGAAGTATTTTATAATGTTTTTGCTGAAAAAAACTCCTGCATACTGGCATTTTATCCCTTGAGCATTACTCCTCCACACTTTTGAAAGACATACAAAAAATATTCATAGTCTGATGGCAATCTTAAGATATTTCAATGCTTTTTGTCACTAATATGCAGGGTAAGAGCCCATGTGAGTCCTGCTCTTTTTCTTCATTTGTAGTCTGTAAAAAAACTCAGCTGCCACTAGAAAGTAACAGAGGCTGTTAGAGAGGAAAAGGGCACTTGAAAGACGCCAGGAACCGATGGGCAGAGGTGTGAAGCGACGTGTGTGTTCTCCACTCTGGGTCAGTTCATCTGCCCTCATTTAGGCAGGGGAAAGTTAGATCCCCAAGTCTACGCCAGTCTCCCTTGGCTTCCCTAGGAGGCCTGCATTAGGCAATAACATTCATTGGCAGTAAAAAGAGTAGGTATGTAAGAAGTTCCCCCAGCTGGGGATTCATTTCATCCTAAAAGAGAAGTCTAATTGGATCAGATGAACCCTACACCTCTCTTTCCTTTACTGTGGAAATCTAGAGAGACTATTTTTTTAGGTGTGTGAAGTTAAGTGAGCTTTATTATCCCAGAGTGTGACCCTGGACCTGTCTCTTTGCCCCTCTTACCCTTTGTCCCTATAAAGCGGATGTTCTTCAAGGGAAATCCTGACTTTTTATTCTTTCTATATGTAGTACCTTTCAACTTCAGGACTGTTCTCAGTCAGGGCCTCAGAGAAGAGCTGTGCTATTTTTACTATTACCGTTGTTGTTGTTAAGGAAAGATATTTAGCAAAGTCCTGCTGTCATTTGCCAAAAGGTAGGGGTTACAACAGAATATAGGACCCTGGCACCATTCAACTTGCACAAGATACTTTGACTTGGGTAGTGGGATATGCCTGACTGTGCCCCCAATCCCACTAATAGGGAAGGGCTGTCTGGGGAAGGTGCTTCCTACAAATATCAGAGACCTATCCAACACTTCAGATGACCCACAAAAACATTAACAAAAAAAAATTTGTTGCTCTCAGCTCTTCTCACAAGTACTCCCATAGCCAAGGTGAGGATTTAATTACATTATGAAGTACAATCATGCTGGTGGGAATGACCATACTGACATAAGATGAGGTTATAAATACTTTACAATGTCAGTAGTTAAGGCTATGTCCTGTGCGATGTCTTGGGCAACAACTGTTTCCTGTAGTGTTACTGATCAATGGCCCATTGTGTTAAATGGAGTGGTGGTGTGCTCTGCTGAATTCCCTGCTGCCCTGGCTCCTTCTTCTATCCATCTCCTCAAGGACTAGACAGCCTCTTTGTTTACTGCCTCCTAAAGGCAAATATGGCTTGGAAGGGGAGAGTGATGAGAAGTGGTGCATATTTACTACTCATACCAACATGGGATCAGGATGCAGTCAGGGTACACATCCACTTAAACACAGACCTAATGGGAAAATGAAAAGATGTAACATGACTTAGATCATAGGTGAAGTTAGAGTTCTTATAAGACAGAAACCAGCATACTTATTTGAAGGGAAAAAAAAAAGGAATTCAAAGTAGCTGTTATACTGGAGAAACAAATAGGCTTCTGAGAAAGAAGGTAGGCAAGGTGGTTGTTCTCTGGATATCTGGAAGAAGATAGGATGATCAGACATTTTCCTGCTTATATATAAAGAAAAATATCAGATGAAGCAATTTTAATACCTTTTATTGGACTGAAGTATCTGTATTTCTTTGCGACCTTAACTGACACATTAGGTAGCAAATAAAAGCTCTACCTCAGCTGAAAAGGCTGTGCCATCTTAGGGTTCAGAAAGCAGCTGGAGATATTTTGGGGAACGGGATTAATGTCAACTGTTCAGCCATCTGAAAGCTAACTATTTTGTATGAACCAGCTGCTTAAACTTCCGTTGTCAATAGTAAGAAACACACTCAGAGGGACACTTCTTGTCTGTGCTAAGACAAATAGACTTACCTTTTGGAGGCATCTATGGAAGGAGTGTAAACAGAGATTGTGTGTGACAATATATTTATTTTGGAAAGGACCTCTTGTGCCAAGCAAGCCTGACCTCCCTCCCAATGGGGCTGGCTTTGAAGTTAGATCAGACAGCTCAGAGCCTTATCCAGTCAAGTTTTTAAAATCATAGGATCATAGAATGGCTTGAATTGGAAGGAATCTTAAAGATCATCTACTTCCAACCCCTGTGCCATGGGCAGGGACACCTCCCACTAGACCAGGTTGCTTAAAGCCTCATCCAACCTGGTCTTGAATGCCTCCAGGGATGAGGCCTCCACTGCTTTTCTGGGCAACACATTCCAGTGTTTCACCATCCTCATAATAAAGAACTTCTTCCTAATATATAATGCAAATCTACCCTGATCTGACTTAAAACCATTGCCCCTTGTCCTATCACTACAGGCGCTTGTAAAAAGTCCCACTCCAGCTTTTGAGTAGGCCCCCTTAACTTACTGGAAGGCCACTGTAAGATCTCTCCAGAACCCTCTCTTCTCCAGGCTGAATAGCACTAAATCCCTCAGCCTGTCCTCGTAGGAGAGGTGCTCCAGCTCTCTGATCATCTTTGTGGCCTCCTCTAGACCTCCTCCAATAGGTCCATGTCCTTCTTGTGTTGGGAGCTCCAAAGCTGAACACAGTACTCCAGGAGGGGTCTCACAAGAGCAGAGCAGAGGGGCAGAATCACCTCTCTTGACTTACTGGCGAGGCATCTTTTGATGCAGCCCAGGATATGGTTGGTTTTTTGGGCTGCCAGTGCACATTGCTGGCTCACGTTAAGCGCTTCATCAACTGGCACTCCCAAATCCTTCTCTGCAGGGCTATTCTCGATTCCCTCATCAACCAAATCTCTAATAATTGATGTTCCACAACATCTTAGGGCACTCATCCCAGTTTGATCAACTTAATTTTGAAAAATGAGGGGTTTTTTCCTTCACCTGAAATTGTTCTTGCTGCAGCTTGTGACCATTGTGTCTCATGATTTCAATGTGTAGGTCTCTGAAGAGCCTATCGCCATTTTCCTTGTAACTCCATTTAGAAAGATGAAGACTGTTTTCTTCTCTAGATTAGAACTCCCCAGTTCACTCAGCCTCTTCTTGTCCTCCATCCCCCTAACCATCTTGGTGGTCATAAACGTCAGTTGATCAGTATCTCGCTTTCACCAGGGGGGCTCAAAATTGATACAGTTTTCCAGATACGGTATCACAAATAATGAATTAAAGGAAATAATAGTATTTTTAAACCTGGTGACTGTGATCTTGGTAATGCAGCTCTGTATGAGGTTACCTTGCATTTCTGCCAGACCTACTTGAATTCTTGCACAGTGACAGGGCCCATTCTTGTGCTTTGAGGAAGTTGCCTGTGAGAACAACCAATTCTTCTGGGCCTCTTTGTCCTTCAAAGCAGCCTTTGTCCTTCAGCGAAGCCTTTGTCCTTTAGGGAAGCCTTCTCTAGGATCTTGCCTGCCAGTTTCCTGAACAGGCTGAAGTCTATTCTCCTGAAGTTCTGGGTCTTTAATCTCCTAGTCATCTTCCATATTCCTTCTAGGATACTAAACTTTTTAATTTCATGGCCATTATAACTACAGCTAACACCATCTATTATATTCCTGAACAGTTTTTCCTTGTTTATGAATGTAAGGTCCAGCAAAGCATTTCCATTAGTTGGTCTGTTCCTCTCCTGTTTCTAAAAGCTATCCTTGATGCACTCCAGTTATCTACCTCCTGGATTTCTTGCTCTCTGCAATGTTGCCTTTCTAGAAGATACTGAGGTGGCTGAGTCTCTCGTGATAGCCAGAAATCTCAGCTATTTTTTCAGTCTACTTCCTCTTGATTGGGTGACCTATAGCAGATGCCTGCCCTTTTTGTGCACCTTGTTGATCTTAGCCCATAAGCTCCTGTTACTTAGATCTCTGTCCATTCAAATAATTTCTTTGTGCAGACTGCAGCCATCCCACCCCATCTTAACTGCCTATTCTTAAAGAGTCTGTATCCATCCAGCAAATCATTCCAGTCAAGCAAGCTGTCTCACCATGTCTGTAGCTGCAG